AAGCTATTTACAGTATGAATAACTGAAGAGTTGCTGAATAGTTATTAGTTGAAATGGTGTTTTTAGCTGAAGGTATGCTGAAGATATTAAGATGTGAAACTTTTTCCCATTCATTTGAATGGGGCAAAGTTAGCTGAAAAAAGGCTAAATTAATTAAAAAGTATAAGTGTTACAAAGAAGAAAAATACAAGCAAGCATGTCCTTAAAAAGCTGAACATTTTGATACCTGAATGGCTTTTGTAGCTGAAAGTATGCTGAAGAAATTTGGTGACAAAAAACAGATGGAAGAACCCAGAATAATACAAAATAAATTCCAGGATAACATAGTGTGGCTGCTTCACAGCATCCACATAATAAAGAACAGGAAAACATGGTGTGAATGCTGAATCAGCATCCACACTATTGTGTTAATTCAACACTGTGTTAATTTAACAAAGTAAAAAATAAAATAAAATCAGTTAAATTAACACTTTATTTAAAACTATCCTGATATGATTATGGAGAAAAATGTTTGACCAATGACAAACAAATCTTCACTTAAGTTCTGTAGCTAAGTTGATCAAAAAATGGCTCTATCATCAGATTAACTGCAGAGATACCTTATCTTAACAGCTGATAAAACAAGCAATATTGTAACTTTTTGTAAATGTATCTTTAAAGCAGTCTCTTAGGATTCATTTAATATTATTTCCTCATCCATCGGTCTATCTACATAATACTGAACCTCAGCTCCTCCCACAAGTGTCCTGCAGTGTAGTCACCACTTTCAGTGATATCAAACTGTTTCAACATAACATACACAGCGCACACTGCGTCTCCAGCTACATCTCTTCAACATCCCTGTAAAGTAGTCAAGAGCTGATAAGAAAACTCACAAGAACCAAACGACACATAAAAGCTCAAGTGGTGCTTTTATTGCTCACTTTCACATAACACACAAAAACAGTCAAGATCTTTTTTTGCCACAATTTCCCAGATAATGTAAAAGCAAACAGGTTTGTTTCTCTTGCTTTTGTTTTGAGTTTAACTGCCTCTAAAGCTTAGTTGAGTATCACAGTCTTGCAGCACAAATGTCCCAAAATGACATTTTTATATAATAAAAGGAAAAAGATGAACAAAGAGACAAATCATGACTAGTAGGTAAAATCATTCAGCCAAATGAATCTCATCTATTTTTCTAAAATGGACTGTTTGGGCTGAGCACATCCTGTCTATAGAATGTTTCAATTTTAAGCAATACATTTAGTGTGTATTCCACAATATGCTAAAATGTAAAGTAGGTATTTTTGAAACACAGTTTGACTCCATATTCCTTATGAATCAGCAGAATTGTACATGACACTTTGGGTTTCTGGTACCCAGGCCTGAATTGCCTTGTGGAACAAAACCCAACAGCAGCAGTGGTCTAACACTAATATCTTCTTTTTATTTTGGTTTAACATAACCACCAATGACCTGAGCAAAGTCAAACACTGGAACTTGTTTACAAGGCTTTGGTCCCTAAGGGGCAGCAAAAAAACTGAGATATATGTTATCTTCTACATTTTTCGATTGGTTAAAATAGTGGATTTAAGGTAATTTTAGTCAAAGGAGGAACAAATTACAATACAGTGTTTCGTCTGTCTAGTCAAAACCCACATATATTTTTAAAGGTGTGTCCAGACTGATCATGCAGCAAATTTTAGGTGTGTAATATTCACTGTAGAATACCCAGTACTGAGCAAAACACAAATTCTCCCTATTCAGTTTCTATGAGATTTGGTCTTTTTCAGGTGTTGTGTGATAGCTGGCAGCACTGAACTGACCATCACTTGGACCTAATGCAATTTCAGGGGTTTGACAAAAAGAAGAAAACAAAACACCCCACCCAGAAAAAGTGATGTAGTGGTGGCAGAAATCTCTTGTGTAGGATGATATAGTAATGCAGAGTCACATCCATCCATCCATCCATCCATTTTCTTCCGCTTATCCGGGACCGGGTCGCGGGGGCAGCAGTCTAAGCAAAGTCACATAAACTGCTGAAATCATAGAAGGCATGTGGAAATGTAGGAAAAGCACAGATGTAAATAATTAAACCAATGATGGCTGAATTCCACGAGGCTGCTCCAGTTTTAGGCTGCTTTTGTGAAGGGCACTGACGCCATTGTTAACACTATTAGTAACACCTGTGCTGTTAAACCTTTTCTGAAGCTATAGATCTCTATTTACTGAGCATACAGAGATGACAAAAGGTCACAAAACTGTAGAAAGAACTGTAATTCCTGGAAGTTTAAAGGCCAGTCTTAAACCTTTACACCACATGGCTAGTGTGTATGTTTGCTAGTCGGTGACACCATGTTACTTGTTTGTGGTGAGGAACAGACTACAAAAACACTTGTATTGAATAACGCAAGGCAGATATTTGCATAATGTTCACTCTGAACTCTCTGTATAAAGTAATTTTGTGTAGAAATACGAATGCAACATAACTGAAGAGTATACAGTATATCCCCTTATTCAGCAACACTGACTACAATCTCTTCTTGAAGATAAGCATCATGTACGTACAATTAAAAAATAGCTCTTTAACAAGTTCATGATAGTAGAAAAATAGTTTTTGCCTTCATATGCTAAATAAGGTTTTTAACACCCACAGGAATGTTAGGAAAAGCAGAGATGTAAATAAATCACCTATAAATAACCTTTAGAGGTTTAACTGTTAACTTGTAGAGTGACTCAGTCCTGTAACAAACACTAGCACACAGTGCCAGACCAGCAGGGTGAGAGCATCTCAGACTCACCAGAGCATAAGGCTGTGAAGGCGTCAGAGGAAAATAAACTAAGTGCCAGACTGTGTGGGAGATGACAGAGGACTTGTTCTTGAGACACTTCACAGAATACAGCACAGTGAAGAAAGCTTTCCAAGTCAGAGAAATCTGAGACAATAAAGAACAAATTAGGCTTACATCTGTGGGAAAGGTGCCAAATTAAAAATTTGGCACAAATTTGAGAAGCGGTTTTGCTTTGAGCCTTTCTCATCATAAACCTGTTCATTAAGAAGCTTCGGTGTTTCTCATAACCACACCTCTTAAATATATAACACCATTAACCCTGATCATCTTCAGTGTCAAGTTTCACCATAGTTGGGTGAACTCAACCTCCACCCAAACCACTGTTAAGGTTTAATCATTTTTAGCTACACAGTACCATGCTTTCAGTTCACTGACAATAGAAACAATGATCGCTTCCAAAAAAAAGTGCATTTGAGACTTTCTCTTCCTGCACTTGTAAAAAAGGGGAATGAAAAAACCCTCATATAAATAAAGTCTAATTACCAAAGGTGACACAGTTTGCCACAAATACTCAAAATATTTTTAGTTTAGTTTAAATATTCTCATAAAACAATGATCTTGTTTAAAAAGTTTACAAGATACAATTTGTATCAACAAAGCAAGGTGTCATCTGGCTACTAAATGTGATAACCAGGCAAGAGCTTGAGCTGTACAAACAGTTCCTCAGACAACACAACACTCTCACTGGTGGAGAAACTGATTTAAAAAATCATGATCTCAATCACCAAATTCAGCTATAAGTGTTCACAGTATAAGAATTGAAAGTACTTCCAAAGAGATCAGACAAAATGTAAGTAGTTAAAAATGTATGGAATTATATTATGAATTATAATAATCTCTGCAGAACTATGAGAAATGTTACTATATTCTGACATTTTACAGATTTAATGATGAATTGCCTAATCAAAAAAAAATCATTTCTCTATAGGCCTGCCAAAATTAAACTACTTATGCTGGCCTATTGTTGCTTACGTAGGGCCAATAGTTTGATGGTCATGACAAAGTTAAAATGGGTTTTTAAATCTGACATATTCTCTTTATCAAGCCTCTTTGTTTTAATGTGACCAATGAGATTATTAATGCATCTGACAAAAGTTTGTAGAACCAAAAACTACTCTATCTACTGTATGTGTGTTCTCACTGCTGTCTGGCAACCTACTCTGTACTCTGTGAGAAGATTTAAATTTCTCTCTTGCCATTCTTTTCCCGACTTGTACTGCAAAGCTGTGTATTTAAGAGAAGGGTACAAAGGAGTTATACCCTATGTGGGGCAGCTAAACCTTCTCTAGCGGCAGCACCACTAATAAAGGAGACCCCATGTCTCATGTACTACAGACATTCACACATTTAAAGTAATAAATTAACACATTTTATATTAAAATAATACCAACCATCTTCATTCTCCCTAAATATTTCAGGGGACCATGCGCTCAACAGCCAACTTGATATGATTCATTCAGATTTCTGATAGAGTTTAAAGTCAGAAAAGAACAGAGGGTGTGTTTAAAAAAAATCAGTACTGAAAGTTTGACTAACTGTGACTGACATCCCACCAGAGGAAATCAGCTAAAGTGAACAACAGCTTGGGGTTTTTAAATGAAGTTTTTACTTTCTTCTCTTGTGGGTGCCGCTTTAGTTTCACTCCCCTATGGGGGAAAATCCACAAAATCTCACCACAGCATCTGAACTGCCACCTGTCCGAATAGAGCATTAAACACATCAGGGATGTATCTGCAAATGTGTTAGTTAAATTTTATCATTGGTGCTGTTCTTTTACATACATCACATCATCTCAGTTACTGAACAATAGAGATGAAAAGTACAAATCTGAACTGTACTCATACCCTGATATGATTGCCCCCCACCCATCCAAAAAAGAAAAAGAAAACCAAAACAAAGCTGAGGAGAAACACAGTAACAAAAGTGCCCAAAACAAAATAATGTTAAAATATGTGAATAACTTAAAATCTACCAAATAAATACATTTAAAGTGAACAGTCACCCTAAGCACTGGTGTCTTGACTCATAACCACAAATAGTTCAGACATGCACTTTGAACCCCAGCCTTCCCTGATCTTATGTTAAGTGCTAGAATAGCCGGCCTATGTGCCATATAGAAAAATATGGCAATTTTGGGATTTCTCTTTACAATAATACCATTAAAATTAACGAGAACACTTCCCTGCAGTTAAAATTAGAAGCCCATTATCAGCTTGAGGAGCTTTGTAGCTTTTGCATTTGACTTGTGTATGTATGACCTGACTTTAACAATTAAGATGGTTCCAGGGGATAAACCAGCAGAAGTGAGCCCAGTACACTTTAAGCTGTAACGTCATGCTGTGATTTCTCCATCAAAATTGTAGCTGCAAGCTTCTGAGCATCCATCACATGAGGGTTCCTGTTCATCACCACCTTCACCAGATCTGGAGGGAAGATGCCACACAAGTTAACAAACATCCTCTTCCTGAGGTCCTGGTATTGACCCAAGGCAGGGGGTTCCTGGTGCTGGAGCAGTGAGGGTAGGTGGCTTTTGTGGGTAGTGATGGGTGGAAGGGGCACCTGCGATGGGTGACTTGATGTTGAAAGGCCACGTGGTGATGAAAGGGCTTGCCTGCCCCAGGGAGAGTGCCAGGCCTTGTCAAGGACTTCTGGGGGGTTTGGAAAGGTAAACATATCATAGCAAGCCTTAGGGGACTGCTGGTGATGGGGCTCCCAGTTTATTTGATGCTGTAGCTGTTGCTTTTGGCTGGGAAAATTTCTTCTGGAATGAAGTGGTGACCCATCATACACTCTGGAGTCCAAACGCCCACCTTCCTGCCAAAGGGAGCTCATCAGATTACGGCTGAAGGGGAAGCTCTGAGAATGTGAGTGAGCAGTTGATGTTTGGGGTGGACATGGTGGGAGAGCTGGGAAATCTCCTGGGAAGCTGCTCAGGGCTGGATACTTAAGATGAGGTGGGATGTAGGCTGAAAGGGTCTTGAGGGGACGTGGAGATGCATGAGAGGTAACAGAAGAGGGAGGGTTTTCCAAGCTAAAACCATGCTGTGCCTGCAACACTTGGGGAGCAGGACAGCCATAAGTAGCATGCTGGCCCAGGCCAGGTGGGATACGGTTAGCAGGATGGGTGTACTGACTGGAACAGTGATGATGGTGGTGTTGGTGCCATGTGGGGCCATCGTCTAACAAGGGGTCAGGGGAGAAAGAGTCGGAGCTTACACTGCCCTCACTGTTACAGTCTGATGGCAGTGATCCAGCTTGCAGATCAGCTGGCAGGAAGCATTCAGGGCTCCGCGGCACTACTAGACTGAGGCTTGAGTAGGTTTTCACCAGTGAGCTGTAGCCCAGCTCTGGAGACTCACATCTGTTATAAGTGTTGGTTTGACTGGGTCTAGAGGCTCCAGCAACTCTGGAACTGCCTCCACCACTTCCCCAAGGGTGCTCCCATTGATCCAGGCCTCCTAATAAAGGTGGGCCCCCTGGAGCAGGAGGCCCTAGAAAGCCACTGCTGCTTTTGCTGTTGCTTCCCCTACGTCCTTCCACTCTGGAGCGGACCTGAAGCCTGTCCTCCTGGAGATCCATGACAGAGCTCTGAGGACTGCACTTGGATTGTTGCTTTCGAGTTCCCTGGTCTGGCTCAGCCTCTGCTGTTCCTTCTGGTTGACCAGAACTATGGCTCTTCACCATCACAGCATCTTCCAGCAAGTTTCCGGAAGCTACTGATGAAATTTTGGCACTTGCACGGAGCTCATCAGCCACAGCACGCTGGGGCTGGCTGCCCCTTTCAGGGTGATAAAACTTACACTTGTGGCCATATGTGCACTTCTTCCCTAAAAGAAGGAAAAATGTATTTCTCATCAGTGCTTTGGAGTGAAAATATTTTCTAACATCATGTTTAGGTGATAGTATTTCTGTTTTGTCATAATTATTATAAATTATAGTTATATTATAATATATTTTAATTAAAATAATAATTAATGTTATAATTATCTATCATAATTTACTTAAATAAAGCCATGCTCTCTAGCTTAAAAACAAAGTAGCTGAACATACAGTACATAAGGCTATTTTTGTTTTACTTTAAAAATCCAGGAAACTGAAAAAAAAAAACTGATGATGAAATGATGCTGTGCAGTACAAAGTCTTACACCCCTTGAAAGGAAGGATCAAATTGACAAACATTTATTTTTTTTTATTAATCTAGAAAGATGGTCCAATGACAGGAACAGAAATAAGTTTACATTTTTACCATAAGGACATGGCTGCTTCCTGTGCTCAGGAATAACAGGCCTCTTCCTCAGAAAGTTCTCCAGACTGGGTCCGTGGCGTCCCAGTGGGTCATCTGGTGGCATGAACCTAAATACATAGTTAATAGATTAAAAAATTTCATTTTCCTAAATTATGGTACTTAAAAAACAGACAACTTGAAATTGTCTTTTTTTTAATTCTGCTTCACTGAGGATTTGATAACGGACAGCACCAACAGAGATTAAGAGGTTTTAAACAGACAAAGCAGCAGCAGAAGCTGCTTAGACTCGCAACACCATTATTATAACAGTAAGTAATAAAGATCAAAAGAGGAGTGAGGAGGAAATGGAAGCGTCTGACAAGTAAATAGAAAGTCCTCAGATAGTTTCCCTTCAAAAATGCATTTTGGAAAAATTAGAGGGACACAAGTGCTCTTTAGTGGTTGGACTAGGTGTTGGAGACCTAAACAGGACATAAAGTCAAGTTGAGTTTAATGGCTTTAGTAGCTTTTGAATGTAATGCAGAGCAGCAAAGCTTCCTGCACCTTCCTTTCTGGTATTTAATATACAAAACAGATGCCACATCCTCTTCAGTAATGTTTTTTATTATTTTGGTATAGTGAATTACGACAGGAAAATGGCATGTGCAGTAGATTTTCTAAAGAATTAACAGTTTTCTCTTTCCTTAACTCCAACAGAATTAATTCTCTTTTGGCATCAGTAGCTTACTTGTCATTTACAAAGGAGTACATCAGCAGGCGCTCGTCAATGAACTTCTTCCACTCTGGCTTCTCATTGGCTAGGTCACGGTAGTTGTCATTGGAAACAATGATGCCATCTGATTCATAGGCCAGTTTGACAATGAAGCGGTCATCGTAACAGACCACACGGTGTCCCTGCACACGGCGAGACGGAGTGAAGACCAGGATCTTCTCTTTTTCCAGTCGCCTTAGGATCTCTTGGTCTGAAGAAAGAGAGGGAATACAAGTAAACATATTGGTGTTAAAGAAGACACGAAATCTTTCCCAAAGGGTTTAGGCACACCCTTTTGCTCATCAGCAAAAGCTACAGTAGCCGTTACCTGTGATGAGAGCATAAGGTCGTGACTGCTCCTTTCTCCATGCAGGGACAAAAACGGTGATGTCTCGGTGGCCTCGCTCCAAGAACCAGTCTACAGCCAGCTGGATGCCTTGGCAGGAGAACACTTCTTTATTCCCATGACTGCAAAAAAGAAAGCATAAAGAAATGTTAGGGGTTCAATCAGTTCGGCATGTGTGAAATTATCATCAACACTGAAATCCTTATTATCAAAAACAAACTGTTCAACTTTACATATATCAGAACACCTATCCATCTGCTTTAATGCTTATCCTGTAAAGGGTCACAGGGGCTGGAGCCAATCCCTTCTGACACTGGACAAGAGGCAGCGTACACCTGGACAGGTCACCAGTTTATCAAAGGGCTGCCAACCATTCATACTCACATTCACACCTAGCATGCATGTCACTAAAACAAAACACCTGCAGAAACCCCATGCAGACAAAGGAGAACATGAAAACTCCATACAGAAAAGCCACAATAACCCATGAGGTTCAAACCTAGAAGCTTCTTATTGTGAGGCATCAATGCTAACCACTGCACCCCTATTACACCCCATATTAGAACATCTGTACTTAATATTGTCAAATGTCAATGTGATGTGATATTGTCAAATGTCAATGTCAAATTGTCAATGATCACATTTTACTTTATTTTTACATTTAAAGTTGCCCTTTCTGATGTGTATCCAGTGGAAAGTTGGATCTTGCAAAATGTGTAACTGCAGTCAGAATGAGAGGTGAGCTAACTTGAGTTGGTCTGTATTGTAAAGTGAGCTTAAAGCTTTAGACTGAATTTCACTGGGATATACTGTATCACTACATCGGTTTATGGTGCATGGCTAACCTGACCCAGAGATGTAAACAAATAATACATTTTCCAGATGGATTGCTTTAGTCATCATGTAAAATGTGGCTACATGTACACTATGTATAAGCAGAAAGCAGAACAGCAAAAACTGAAAAGCTTCTCTTACTCACCTCATGGCTACGTTGCTCCCATCCACCACAACAGGCCGAAGGTTTTCTTTGTCCTCCAGCAGCTGGGATGTACAAAGAAGCCGATGGAAGCCTAGAGAGGAAGAGGAGGAGGAGGCCAAAGAAGATGACACTGATGTGGAAGAAGACTGGGAGACTGCTTGCTGCTCCATCTCTGTCTTGGTTCCCAGTTTGACCAGCTCTCCCAGGATGTCATTGATGAGTGCGTCTGGGCCCAGTTTCCTCAGCACCAGCAACACCACCTCCTCAGAATAGCCTAACTTGAGAGCAAACTCCACCTTGTTGCGGCAGTCTGTGACGGAGACAGTGAGAGGCGAGGTTTCTGGCTGTGGGGGGTCTCCAGGGGGTTGATTTGATGCCAGGTCCAGCCTGACTGGCTGACAGACTGAAGAGGACTCTTGGTATTGGTAAGACTGATCTTGTTGAGGGTTTTGACATTCAGAGCCAGACCCATTCTGAAGCTTATCATCTTCACTGTCAGAGATGGCACTCTCTTCAGAGAAGTTGCTGCAAATACTGCTGCTACTATAGCTTGAATGAGTACTACAACCAGTACTACTGCGACCAGTACTGTTACTGCTGTTACTCAAGGTACCAGTTCTTACTTGCAAGACTCCTATATTCTCATCACCTGTCAGAGTGCTCAAGTCCACCTGCTGTTCAGCACCTTCCACATGAAGGTAGTCCAGATCCAGCCCCAGGCTGAGGATGTGGCCTGTCCCATCCTCCAGATGGTCCTTCAGGCCCATGAAGCCGTCTCATGCATCCAGCTCCAGGCCCTCCGTGACCTCCTGAGCACCTGGCTGACCCCACTGCTATCGTTGTGAGTTGACTGGATCTGGGAGACACATGAAGGGAGTGGTTACAATCCTGAGGACTGCATCAAAGTGAAAGCATGTAAATTGTTTTGAGTCTTAAATGTTCAGGAATGCAGAATGAAGCACAATTTGGTCACATTTTTAATTAAAAAAAATGTGGAACCCTTTTTGGCTTATTACTCCATGAAAGCCTTGCAAAAACCTACAGACAACCTCAGGAAAAATAAGTATATGCATCTGCGGCTACAGTATATGCATCACTTTCCTCAACCTGGAATACACTGTGACAAGACGACAAGCTCCACCGCCCTAAATTGCATATAGAAATCCCACTACAAGTGCATGAATCCCATTTTGATGCAAAACTAAACTTAAACCAGATTAAGAGGTCAGTTGAATAGTGGAACTCTACTTACTTGCTATTTGCATTTGAGCTACAATGAGACATTAAAAACATTAGATTAGGACACGTAATGCCAAAAAACTGACACTGATGTATATAATTACTGAACATCACAATCAATAATCATACTTTCTAGTAGGCAGACATGCTGGAACAGTCAAAAATTGAAATAAATAAATAAAGTCTGTTTTCTCAGAAACACGGATCATTAAGTTATTGATTTCTTTACAGAAGCTAAATAAGTCATAGATTTTTGACATATGCAGTTTTACTTAAATTATATTTAAATGATATTACTTCAGATTTTATTTTATAAGAGTACTGACAACTTTGAGATTTAAAAAAATTAAGTGTCATCTTTGCTTGTTGCCTGAGTATAAGATACTCTTTTTGGAAATCACACCATACTATAATTGATTAGCAAACATTTTCATATATACAGCAAGACTGTTACTTCAAGACAATTCTTTATTATATGTTGAGGTATTCATCCACCAAACCACATGATGATATTTAGCCACAGTAATATAACGTGTACATACATCAAGCTAAAGTACAAAAAAATACTGTGGTTCATTGCAGTTTAAATCAATACCAAACTGTAGCATTTAAAGTTATGCCTTACAAATAAAATAAAGTCAAGGTGTATAAAGGATGCAAGATTTTCAGTTGGCTCCTGTGCTAACAATTTGAAATAAAATACTAATGGTCCCTAAATCCTCCTTTTCTTCTCAGAGTGTGGTTCATTGGTTCTGTGGGTTGAAACAAAGGTCAACTATTGTTATGGGAAATGGGTTAGTGAACCCTTTTAAAAAAGCATGTGTTTCTGCATCTCCCCTGTATCAAGGACATACACACATACAGTACATAGAGTACATTAAATGCAGTAAACTATACAAATGTTTCCTTTAAGCTTAAAGGTTCTTTATCCTTAGATCTAGTTAAAGACTTATGCAGCCTCTCGTCATCGGTGTGTGAATGTGTGTGTGAATGGGTGAATGGTGTATAATCTCCTGTAAAGCGCTTTGGCCAGTGTAACACACTGTGAGAAAGCGCTATATAAAATACAGTCCATTACCATTTACCATTCATTGTATTGCCGATTATCAAAAACGTGAACGATGAACAAGCTCCATCTTGAATATACCTCTACTTTTTTTCTACACACAAAAACACAGTCTTTAAAGAGGGCTGTGCACAAAGAGTACACAACACAGACAAATTGCCAGTGTGTCTGTGTGTAGAATTGTTATCTGTGGAAATACCCATGAGGGGTTCTTCCAAAGCATCAAATGCGCATATGCAAGTCTTTAAGAAAATTATATTTAGAGTGTGTTGGGATAAAAAAGGATTTAAAAAAATATTGATGTATGAAAAATCTATATTCATATTTTGTATGTGTACATTTTTGGCACGAATAAGAAAAGTGGGTACAAAATGCATAAAAAGAGTATAAATGACATTTAGGAATAAACGACACTGGATTTCAAAAATATAACTAAAAAGAAACTTTCCTACCAAATTTCATGCCACAAGCTGCAACACAACCAAAATGATCGCTAAATCAAAGAACAAGTTTGGGCAAAAATGTACGTATATGTAGCTGATGGAAGCCTGGCATCAAATAGGGCACAAGGTGTAATATTTGAGTCATATGAACTTAAGTTTCTTTTCCTGTTTATTTTATTCCTTACTTATATGTATCTCTATTGCATGAATGACTGTTAGAACTGCTTATCTACTGTGTGTCTGTTAAAAGAATGTGTCTGCAGGAAGTCTGCGCTTTGAAGTTAACCAAATGTCCAGTATTTACTGTTTGTTTATTAGGGTTTTTATGGACAGGATGTCTGCTCTTTGAAGATGACCAGATGTTCGCGTTTCTGTTAGCTGCCGCCTGACACTACAACATGCACACACCATTTGATTTGCATATTTAGCAGCTGACGTGAGCGGAGGCTGACTTGCTCACCCCTATGGCCAATAGCATTAGGATACGTCTAAGTCCAACCTTAGTCTGGGGCAGTTCCTACCCACGAAGATAAATGGAACTACAGACAATGGTCCCACGCTCTTTGATGATGGATGTTCCTGTGGAAGTTTTGTCACTCTGAGCCCAGCGCTGCTCCGATTTTACCTGTGACAAGACTTTCAATAAATTTCTGTTGATTTTATACAGTCCTCCTCTCTTTCCACTTCTCGTGCTTTCAACTAAAAAACTGGCTCTAACAAAGGGTTAAGAGCATCCAACCAGGGGAACAGGATCAAACAGAAAGCATGACTCTTGGTGAAGAGTTAAAAAACTGTGTAAAATTTCTGTTATGTGGTGCCTTCTAATATTTGCTACTACAAGCTAACAGTCATACTTGATAGTAGGTTTTCAGCTTCGGATTTGTAACAAGACGTTACTATATAGTTTTTTCAAAATAACAGTCTTGTTTTCAAATTAAAGATAAGATTGGTGATTCCTTTCAGAAGCATTTTTATTACATTTCTTGAATTTTGTTTTTCATTCTGAAGGCAATGAATATATTAATGCACTGATAACATAAAAAAAATCTGTCATCTGTGGCAGCACCAGGGCTAAAAAAAAAAGCCTAACCAATGATTTCACTCAGTCTGAGCAAAATCATTGGATGGTCTACCTGCCTGTCAACCTACTTCTTACTCACACGCACTATGCCTTTGCATTAATTGAACAAGTCAAGAGTTTCCTACAAGGTACTGCAGGCATACATGTTACCTCTCTGTTCTTATAGCTAAAGATAATGAGTGATAGCAGAGAAGGTACACGCAGCAGGTTTTGGCCATAAACAGAGACGGAATTTGAGAAAAGTTACAACTAAAAAGAAGTTGGATGCTGCAAGAAGGAAAAAACGGCCACAACTAAGTGAACAAAGGGACTGAAAAGTGACACCATGGTGGCTGTAATTATCGGTTTTGTTTTTGTTTAGGGGCTTTTGTTATTTACCAGAAATCTGTAAGTAATAGACAGGCAGTGTGCGTTGCAGTGTGCCTTGTGTTTTAGAGAACTGGCTTTGGAGTGAAGTCAGACTGAAAGGGTGGGATTTCTTCAGTTTTCTACTTTCAAAATTGAGCTTCTTCTTGCTGGTTTTTCCAGGAAGGTCAACTCTACCTTTAAGAATAACATAATTCCATAATTAAAATAATACATATTTCATTTAAATGCTTAAAAACTGTGACTCAGAAACAGATTTATTGTGAAGTGTCTTTTCACATACAAGGAATTTGTCCTTGTACAGTGGTGCAAACTGGATAAAAAAATATACAATTATTACAAAAAACAATATAAAGGAAAAAATAGGATTAGACATTTTTCAACGGACCTATGCTACATATATACATATGTTAAAAGAGTTAATTTTGAAACACTGTATGCATGTGTGGTTATATTTTATTGGCAGCTGTAATGATGAGTCTCTTGGATCTTGGGCTCAAGCACCAGAAAGCAGAAAGGGGCCTCTTAATGTCCCAGCCCTAGACATCTAAGCTGCAGCACTACTGTTTTGTCACCATGAATACCACGAGAGAGCTGGAATAATTTAGTTCACCAACAACAAAAGAGGCACAAAATGAAAGAGTGAGAATTTGTTTGTGTGTGTGTGCATGTATCAAGAGGTGGGGGAAGAAGTGTGTCTGGCCTGCCATCCTTCAACAATGCAGCTGCCACCCAATCTGTCCTCCTGTGACAAAAGTATTGTTATCTCAGCCTGAGCAGCATGCACAGACGGAGGCTGGGGCTCTTTTAACCCCTTCACCCCCACCAACACACATGCACATGCACATGGTGCCTGGTAATGCATCAGTCACAGGTTGCCAGATGGAATCTCTGAGGAGTCAGCAGAAATAAGACTGTGACACAGCAAGTGTAAATCAAATGTCTTAGAGGCAGTCAAGCACTGGGCATATATGTGTGATCACTGCAGTGCTAGTATGACTGTCACAGTCCCGCTGTGACTACTGTTACTGTGAGTTTTATAAAGATATGTCATACAAAACAAGGTTTTATATATATACTGTATATATTCACACAGTACTGGACAGATCACTCACTGTAGTCTTTGCACACTTATGTCTAATTCACACTTTTGTGTCTAATAAATTACATGAAAGCAAATCTCATTTGGAAAAACACTCATTCCTGTACTACAAAAGTGCTATGACATCATGATGAGAGACTGTATGTTATTGATCAGATGAGTTATTCATTTCAAGCAAACAACTAATAACAAAATGTTATCTAAGATCCAAATTATACAGCACTAAAATATTTTATCACAAATAACTTTTTTTCTTTTAATGCTATTCTGTCATTACAAAGACATTTTAACTATAGTAAAATAATAGAAACCTTTTTTGATTTGTGGGTTTCAGCAAAGAACAGTGTCAATAGTAATGTTGCATAAGGCTAGAGAATTGGACCTTTTTGTAGAACGAGAAGAAAGTAAATTCCATATAATAAAATTATAAATAATGTCACAAATCATCTTCCAATGCAATAAGCTACAAGCAGCTATTGTGCTGTTTAATAACTCTGTTATTAAAAATGTTATGCAATTAAAATACTTATTTCCAACTGTTCTGTGAAAGATTATTGATCACTTTTAATACAATGTATAACACAGACATTAGCACTGAAATTAAATTCTATGAAATTAACCATGGTCTACCTAAAAAAATTAATTAAAATACTAAAAGTTTGGA